GGGGGGGGGGGGGGGGGGGGTGAGGGGGTGTTATTGATAGGTTTAGATCAGTGCAGTAGAGTTACACCTATGGATGCAAATTTGGTGGTCTAGGCTCTTAAAGCATAAAGAGAGCATGGATAGATTTACTGGGGTACACCCCCCTAGCTTTAGCAAAGGGGGAGGGGTAGTCAATCTCCTTATTAAATCCTCACCAGGGACAGTGTTTCACCCATTTAACAACCAGGGACAGTGTTTCACCCATTCTGCAGAACACTGTTGTGCATAGCTCCTGGTTATTATGTACTTCAGATGTTCAACGGTTGCATCCAAACAGGGCCGAGGGTAATAAGCACCCCTCCCCCCACTACCAGATTTTGCACGGTGGGTGCAATATATTCCCCATGATCCCTATGACATCATTAAGAACAGCTCAAACAGTTGGAGCTCTAAATTAAAGAGGCCTGAACTCAATTGGGTGGGAGCCCCAATCTATACAAAATGAGTTTTTTTTAATGACAGTAATAAATATCAAAATCACTTACAGCATGGGTGAAACAATTAGCAACCTGCTCATGATGTGTAGGACAATATGCCTCATTCTTTTTAGCTGGACGGTTCATAAACCTAAAAACAAAATAATTAAATAAAAACAATTATAAATCTGAAAGATATGAATGCTTAATTATTGCATCTTGTAAGATATTCAGCAGGGCTCAAGATTTGAATTTTTTACTAGTATCCAAGTAGCTACTAGAGTCTTAAAATCTAGTATCCCTATTTGAAATTTAGTATCCCAGATTTGGGTAGTAGGTATTTCGATAAGCGGTATCCAAACAAGGTAAATAACTGCCAGACAGGTCTGTAAACAAGTACTACAAAACATCTTATCATTCGTTAGGGTCACGTACGGGAAGGAGTTTTTCCAGTTTTAGTTAAACTTTCTGCTGCACTTTGTTAATTCGTATCTGCGTTTAATTTCATCGCTTCTTTTATCGTGTCTTTCTTGGGCAATTACATTAGGCTGTCTCACTTCCTCAGTGTCTTGTACACCTCGGAATGAGCAATCAATGCCGAAAATAGAGAGGCAGAAATTAACCTTGTGCTCAGGTACATTCCGTTTTCACGAGACAAACAACGAAAAAATATTATTTTGACAAACATTTTGCCACGACATATCGGGATACCGCTAATCTTGAGCCCTGAATTGTGGACCCACTTTCATGAAATTGATTCCTAATATTCACCATTTAAGAGTACACCCTGGGAGAGGGGTAAAAAAAGAGCACAATCTGTACACTAATGAAAAGTTGATAATTATGGACCAACCCCTAGGAAGTATGATGCTACAGTCTGTATATATTCTCACACAAAACGTCTATATTTGTATAAAGTATTTGCAGGTTCCAATAAGCTCAGGCAATATGCTCTTCACAAACACGAAAACTTCACGTTACTGACGTTAGCATATACAGCGTTTATTAACTGCATCTGTTCATGTTTAGCTGCAAACAACGGTATTAATTAAATTTAATAAAACCTATATTTAACCACACAATTACGCGTCAAATTACTTTAAATGCTGCCCTGTCAACGACTATAAATATCTCATAACATGAAAATGAACAAAAACGCAAGGAACAACACACAAACACAATATAATGTACAGAACAATTACAATAGATAAAAGGTCCAAAGTCCGAAATCGATTGCATTATCAGTTGTCAAAAAAAAAAAAAAAAACGTGCGAAATACTACAAACTTTTACACGATACGTACCTTCCCAAACGCGTCTTTGCAAAAACCATGTTCCTGTAAAGCTAAAAGCTCAAATTATTCTAAGCAAGTTAGTAAAAATTTGAACATTTTTCTACTTTTTGTACGAGAACGAATGACAATTATAAGATTAATTATGCATTCACTTCCGTGATTTCGGAAATAAGATGAATAAATTATCATAGTAGATAGGACGCTGTGGTGCAAGGGGGGGCATGGGGTCAAGGAGAACAGGGAGGAGGGTTATGGTTTTACTTACAAGTTTTCGGGGGCTCCGTTTTTCAAGGTACTAAAACTAGACTACTAACAAACTCTCTATGTACTGGACCCATTGAACCGAAATTATACAGTTATCCAATGTAAATAAAGTCGGTTTAACTGTTTTAATTTGCTCATATTGCTTGTGTATCGAAGTAGTTTGGTTTTAATTCTACAATATTCAAAATGAATCTTAATACTTAATTCAACAGTCTATTTCTTTTCAACTTAAATATGTTCTATCCCTTGACTAAATCGCTATTTTCTTTCGAATGAAAGAGGATGTAAAACCGTTTAGAAAGTTCAGGTCCAATCCTTCTGCTTGTTGCCAGCGAACCACCCACCTCTCCGCACCTGAAATAAAAACATATTTTGCGCAATTTCTTTTGGCTATATTTATACATGTCTAACAAATCACCCATCAAAGTCTAAATACAAAACGAGCTATCCAGAAATCACAATAGCGCGAACAATCGAGCAATAGTTCTAGGAACAAATCATACCTGACATATTTTCCTAATATTTCGTCTCGTGCCTTATACAAATCGACACTGCATGTGTGCTAATAAGTTCATCTGATTAAACGAATTACGCAACCATTATACTGAACCTCAAGGAGTAGGGTTTATAGGCAGAAATTATACACTGGATCAATAAGGGCTGACCTTTATTGGAGGTTTATTTATACTATCAGTGATAGCTCTATCAGTTTTAAACTGTTTTCCCTAGAGGTTCAGTAAGAGTCCATTCCTCATTGATGCAGTGTTACTACAGAAGGAAACCTAAACTAAACTAACTTTATTTATACTGGATAGCTCAGTAAAAACTGTAACACTGAATCAATGAGGGATGGACAGTTACTGTTTATGCTGACAGCATAAATAAAGTTAGTTTAGTTTAGGTTTCCTCCTGTAGTAACACTGGATCAATAAGAGATGATCTTTACTGGACCTCCAGAAAAAACAGTTTAGAACTGTTTGAGTTATACTTGAGTTATCCAGTATAAATAAAGTTTAGTTTGGCAATTATAACAAAATGGAATGACTCCTTGCTGGACCTCTAAGAGAACAGTTTAGAAATTATAAACTGTATAATTTAGAAGTAATACATACTGGAAAAAAACATATATTCATTGGATAACAAGAGTCATAACAGTAACTACTCTTTATTCATATTACAAATTAACGTTTCTAGTTGTATACTAAACTGCAGCACATCAAGTGCCAAACAACCCAACCATAATGAGTACTCTTTAATAGTTCAACTTAATTAATAAACAGTTTACTGTATCTCATTCTCAATTTCATCATTTATTTATTTATTTAGTATTACACTTCATATCCTCCTTAATATATATATATATATAGGATACTGTATATCATAATTATATTAATTAGTACTACAAAGATAATTGTGGTACATTCAGTTACATATATATTAACATAATATTGGTGTCAAAGTTCAATACTAAATTTGACTTCATGACAAAGGAAGATATTTGTTCTTCAAACACCATAATTAAAACGAAATTTAGATGAACGTCGCTACTCTGTTATGTTTTATTTGTCACACACTATGTTATGTAACGAGGACCACATATAATTAATCCCAAGATGCTTTGCAGCATCTGCAACATTACATCTCCCTTTCTACTGAGAGAAAGTTAATAATAAACTTGTTAACATTAATAAGTTTAAACGACATCAATATCAACAATAATTATAGCTATTCAGGTTTGTTTTCTTAACGAAGACCATATATAATTAATCCCAATATGCTTTGCAGCATCTGGATACATTACACTCCAGTCAACTCTACTATAACATTATATTGTGTTTATGTATTTACTCCAGTGAATTCTATTATAATATTATATTGTATTATAATTATAGAGTTCACTGCGCTACTCTCATTACCAATCTTCTGTGGACTCCACCGCCCACCTGACAGCCTACTTCCCTCCACTGTATGAAAGCGCCCAGGTTTGGATGATATGAGGAGCAGCGCTTTTCCAAAGCAGAAGCAATACGCTTTGAACATAACCACGAGACGAATTTCCCCAACCCAAAGCCAAGACCGCTTCCAATAAATGTCCCGATTATTGCACCGCCAACAGGAACAGGTATGAACATCTGACCAAAAAACATTCCTGCGACACTTCCAATAGATCTAAACGAACTTGTAATTACCAAACCAACAACTTCCTTGATAAACTCTTCTTTCGTCTCAATCAATAGTCCTTTTCTCCACTTCTGTTTTGCTTGTCGAATATCGTACACTAAGGAAGCAACATCGATTACCAGTGCAAATACCAATCCAACAGTACACCCTATCACTGACAAGCTTTCAGTGCCATACTTTGCTATCGCATTCCCCAGACAAGAACGTCCCAACGCTTGCTCAACAATGTCCACAGTGATTTTCAGAATGTTGCCACAAAGTTGAAAAACCGCCATAATAAGGCCTTTCAAGACTTCTGACGGGATCCTTACCGATGGTGAAGCAGACTGCAAGCTAATATTCATGCCACATTTACACCACATAATAAAAGATTCGCAATTATTTGTTTCCAAATCGTAGTCCTCTTCACCTAACCTTTCCCTGGCTCTTTTAACGACCTCTTGGTCGGGATAGAATTTCAGTTCATCTGGCCAGACAACTCTTTCGACTTCAACTCCTTTTTTTTGTAATTCGCTTTCATTTTTAATAAAGTCCTTGTGCGGCAAGGTAATTTCTTTTATGCTAGCAAGTTTCCCGCCAGAGCAACCCCAGCCAGACAGGGAAGCTAAGATACTTCTACTGCTTCCGTTGGAACGTGTATTATGATAATGGATAATCGTTGGTTGACCATCGCTTTTCACTCCGGTGCAAAGAAAATGATGGAGGTAATGTTTACCAAGGAGGGAACTATGTCTAACCAGATGATCGCCCGCTTTCATGTCCGAGAACTTTTTTATTGGCTCTCTTTGTAGAGAAACAAGTTCCAGTTCTGTGGGTTTGGTGAAAACTGCAGGCATTTCGTAGGTCAATTATCTAAATACAATTAAGTAAAATTCTAAATTCATATACTTGAATATTATTTCGCGATTATTCACGTACACTATCAAGAAGGTGTATACCTCTACTCCCTTGAAATGCTGAAATTCTGGGAACATTTTTGCGTGCTATTGGGGAATGGTAATCACCAATACTCGATACGTTATTAAGTGTTTTTATCTTCAAAAAATTACATCCTTAAGACAAGTGTTCTATTGCATTAAACTGATGGTTAATGACTTCTACATCAACACAAGTGCAAAAATTCCTGCAGTATTATTTATTTATTTATTTATTTACTTTGCCATCATACTTATACATTCATTGGCTGGGAAACCACAACAGCTATTGCCAATTACAGCGGCCCCAATAGTTATACAGAAACAATTTACAAGGTATACTAAACACACACAACAGACAATACTTGAACAACAGTCATTACATTTGTCTAAAAGCAGCATGTCAGTGGAGAGTTCATTAAACTTCGAGCGGAATTACATTTTATACACACACTTTTCCATGTCCGGGGATCCTCAACATCGTATGTATTTTCTAATGCTAAAATATAGTACTTAAAAAGAAGATTCTTGAATTCTGAAAATGTTAGGTCTTTGGATGTAATATAATTGGGTAGTATGTTCCATATTCTTGATGTTCGGATTTTGTAAGATTTTTCATAGGTTGACGTCTTGTATGTCGGAATTTTATATTTGTGCGAGTTGGGATTAAATGATCTTGTCTGTCTTTGACCCTGAGGTTGAGGAAATGGAAGAATTTTTTTTATCAATATTAAAAATGTCGTGATTTGCCTTATAGAAGAATACTACATCCAGGTATTCGTGCCAGTAGCTGAGAGGGAGCAAACTGGTTGCAAGGAGTCGGTCTCTATATTCTGTATCACAATATATATGAACAATCAAGTATGAACAATCAAGGCCAAAATTCATTTGGACACAAATGTTATTTTTAAAACTTAACAAATACAGTAAAAACCCGCGGAAAAAACCAGTGGGTTAAGATCCACCAGCTTGAAATTAAGCATCCAAAACACAAAAACCTCTTCACGCTGACAAGTAAGACTGGTTCCTAAAAACGTTTTGTATTTTAAACAGAGAAATATTATTTAATACTATTGCGAATGGGATACATTTGGGAAATTAATGTTCAAAACGTCAACTTATTTTATCGTCAACTTATAATATCTTGCAGGCTCAACAGCTCACTACTCACTAGGGGAAAAAATTAAACACTAAACCATGCAAGAACAATTGTGAAATAAGGACCATGCAGTTAAAAATCAATTCAGCCTGATTTCTCATGCACTATTGAATGAGACGTATTTCATGCAATGTCGCATCTCAATATGATGGACATTTCTTATTTTGGTAAAAATATAACATTTGGCATTGGTTTAAAGTAAGGACCATATATGTAAAACTGAAGAGCCTACCTCCTCCGCAGGCCTTTCGATGCAGGCGGGAATAATTTGCGGGCGTGAAATTTATTTTCCGAACCTGCCCGAAATGCTCCCTAAGCGCCTGCGGAGGAGGTAGCTGAAGAGCTATAAATTAAGAAGCGGCAATGTTTGTGAATTGTCCAAACGATTCTAGTCCTGATTGCGCATGTTGCGAAACTTTTCTAGAATAAATTTCGACGCGCATGAATTAATAATCACGTACAATCTAAGTTTTGCTTCGCTCCCTTTCGATTTATGACGTTTCTATTTGACAGAAAATTTCTACCGTTTGAGTATGGAAGCTGGATTTATACGTTAAATTATTCTCTAGGAAGATTTGGATTGATAGAGATACAACTAGGAAAACTTCGACATATACACAAGGAGAACTTCGACGTTTTGAGCGAAGACCCTTGGTCGGTAAATTAGCAGTGGGTTAACGAAGGGCGTTCGCTGGAAACATCGAACTGTCTTCTCATTGTTGTTTTTATGGCATTTATCCCCATTTTTCTTAATATCGCCCAACTCTCATTTTTCTTAATATCGCCCAAGTTCGATTAACTACAAAACTGTTATTCTGTCACCAGAAATGGCGCACTTTTTTATTTATCCCTTTCTAGAAAAAAATCATTCCATCCTTTCCTATACCAAAATGACATATAATAAAAAACATATATGTGCTATACAATAAAAAAGTTGTAAAGTTCCTACCTTAAAACCTGTATAAACTGTGGCTGTGCTTCAACCAAACTCGAAAACAAATTGTGATTATGTGGCGATATATGTATAATGAAGCCGTATTAATTTTAAAAAAGCAAGCTGCATGCCAGAGACTCAGAAGTCACATGCACTGTGTCATGCAGACCTCAGAGTCAGAGGGGAAATCCCTTCAAATTAAAAATTCACGATCACGCAGACTTACAGTAGGTTTTGAAAGTTAATAAAAC